GATTCGGAATCAGATATTGATTCTCGATATTTTGACTGTTTTTGATGGCTATTGCCGCAACCTGTTTGTGCCATACATTTGCAGGACCCAATACATGGAATATTTCTCTTACTGCTTGAGCACTGACGACCCTTGCATCCTGAAATTTCTTTGATCATATTATTCAAGTATTTTAATATGAAGTGAGTTCTTGGTACCTTTTTTACATTTGCAAGTTGTAAGAAATGACGTATCCTCCGGAAAAGCTGTATTGGTCATCAATATTGGCGCTAACTGTCCATTTTCCATCATATACCAACCACTTTTGACCGGATCTTGTATATTTGCCATAGGATGAATGCTGTTGAGCCATATTTTTGCCTGATGGTGAACCCGAAGGCAATGCTGTCTGAGGCTATCCCGAGTAGGTGGTAACTTCTTTACCGACTTCGAACTTGCCAGAATGCTTCGTAGATGATTAATGCAATCGACTTCCGCATCCGGAGAATATAATTGTAAGACAAATTTTTGAACGTCTTCGAAAACTTCATCTGTCAGTGTCTCACTTATTCCCAATTGCTTTAAAAGTCTATGAGATTTCAAATAAATTTTCCAGTATATTTTTTTTCTAGTCCCACGAATTGACTTGTTGTATCGTATGTGAGAGCATGAAATGCCGGCAAATTTTTCATCAGTTCACTGTTCATCTTGATGTCATGGATATTGATGAATTTTTTCTTATCTTTTTGTCCCACTCTCATCCATACTTCTTCTGTCAGAAAATCTTTAATGTGCACTAACAACACCAATACATCTGTATCTTGACAATTAATTATGCATCTTTTGTACCCTTCTGATTTGGCTGAAAGTATATGTAAAATGATTCTAGTATCGGCTTTTTGAACTGATGAGATTATTCTCCATTTCATAATTTGCTTCATATTGCAGAACATTCAGAAATCCTCCACTTGTGGTGAATTTTAAAGGCTTATTTTGTGATCTTCGAGATATCTCATTCGATAAAAATGATGTCAAATATCGTTTATTACCGACTGAATGAATGAACAAATGCCATTGTTGTGGCAGAACAGTATTAACATTATCAATCTTTCGATCAATTGTCTCTTTCATCAAACTCCTTTTTACTCGGGTACAATGTGTGATTGAAACATCTTGGTAATAATCCATCACAAGATCTATCCTCTCTGCATTGTATGGATTCCTGAAAATGATTGATTCGAAAATGGATACATAATCTCCAAACGTCTTCGCAGCAAACGGTTTTCCTAATGCTTGTACCAACGCCATACCATCGAATAAATGGCAAGTTCTTAGGTTACTAGGTGGTAGATCAACTTGTTGTGAATGATTCGATTATTTGACCAAGTGAACTTTTGTTACTAGGTGTAGAAATTATTCCGTTTGGTGCGATGGATTCTGGAAACTGAGATAACTCATGTTTGAATATCTGCTCATAATTTATGTCTCGACCCGATTCTTTCACAGCTAAAATTTTCTGCAAAAACTTCTGTCCTTGCAGCCAATTATTTTTAGTCAATTTAACTCTATCCTTCAACGTGCAGCTTTCCAATGTCTTTAAATTGTTTTTCTTCAGAGGTTTGTAGAAATCTTTCGAATGTATGGTTTAACAAAAATCGCGTAGTGAATTTTCTCCTATCCTCTGTGCCATGAATAATGACTTCTGTATTTTTTCTGTAGCTATCTCTTTTGTAGAGATACACATAAGTGTCTCATGTGACATTTCATGACAATGGAATCACGAAAACTGTTTATCATTGGATCCTATAGTGTTAAAACTCAAGAACCACTCATCCAATCTTGTGCTATTTTTTGTCAAGCCCACAATACCTCCAGCTTCTTTGGAGGTCTTATTGATGTGCTCTAATGCTTGATCTACAGAAAGCTGGTTAAAATTTCCTGCCAGGCGCTTCACAACAAAGTTGCCATTCACAAATTCATTATATATATCTGGAGCAGAATTGGACAAATTTTGCATATCCGCGAGATATCTCCCCATCTTGAATAATTTGTGTGGTCGAATGCGAAGAACCATGGTAGCATTCTACGGAAACTGTTCAAATGTAATTGCCAGTTACCAGTTCTCTCACTATAAAGAAATTCTAGAAGTATTTCCACTAGTTCCAGATATGAAATCCAAAATTTAAAAGTGGGGTGTTGTGATTGGACGAATTCGGAAAATTCTTTGGATAAACTTTTCCACAAATTCACAATCATTTTGAAACTTTCTAACAAATTCGATTCATTCTTCAGTTTGATATTCTGGGTTATTTGTGTTGACTTCAAATATATAAGATTCAGAATATGAATTGACTCGCTATTGCAGTCTTTGAGCCATTGTTCAAAAATTGATAATAATATTCTCATCAAACTCTCATATGTCAACTTGTGAGCTCTGATGCATTTATTACATTTCTTACCATTCAGAATACCAGTGACTGTAGCTTCTCCATATTGGCCACTTTCTAGCCATACATCAGATAGACCCGATTTAGCCATGTATTGACCGAAAACCTTTAAAAAATTCATCATAATGTGAAAACCACCTGAGCGAATTATTACATGTTTGGTTGCTTCGGGTTTCATCCACTGAATTTCCTTCGCTTTATAATAGATAGCTTGATCGAATGTTATGACAGTATGTTCATTATTCAGTTTTTCAGCGATTGCGGAACATCTTTGAAGAACTGTGGAACTACTCCATCTTCTTTATGGTTTGTTCTGCATGAAATCCATGCCATATTGTATTCTTGTATAAAACTGTTACTTTCAGTTTCCAGATCATGTGATCCCATGACACAACTGTTATATATATCCTGGATTTATCGAAATTAAGCGTTTCGCGAAAATGAAAATCTTCAGGCGTTGACAGTTTGGTGTTATATGGCAATAATTTAGTATGACATGATATATATCCATTCGTCGAACCGCGCTGAAATGCTGCAATTTGTGTACCATGAAATGTTGGTGATTTGTCTAATGTTTCTCCTAATATATCAATATTGTCAGCAGCAAACTGAATGAATCTGCCAGGTACCAACTGCCTAGGAACGACAACATGATCGTTTTCTACGAAGAGATTAATTTCTTCCTGTGCAATTGAATTTCTGAGCCCTAACGTGGCTGCGTAGGAAATTGAATGGCCACAAGAATGCAATGTTTCTATTATTCTTTTTGACCGTGTTTCTTGATGAACTAAGATTTCCAAACCAATATGCTTTGAAGTATGTCTAATTCTGTAGTTATAAATTATATCCTGACACACACTCATTACAGCATTTTCCTTATTCGATGTGCCGTTAGAATCATCGCAAAACAACAAATTCACCAAGAAAAGCAGTTTTTCCGGTATAAACTTCTTGTACTCTGTAATGCTCAGATTATCGTAGGACATGAAAGTTGGGATATTGTCTATTTCATTCTTGATATCTTGACAAAATTTGAATATCACCGAAATTTCTGATGGACCTTGGAAAATGAGGTTACTATTATCATTCTACTGTTCTACGATTGTTGAAAGCATTACTTTCCTATCTATTGCTGGTATTGATAACCTCGGTTCATTCACTCTAGATGACTTAATTAAATCGATTCTACCCTCGAAATGATCAGTGATTTCTTTTATTAACGTTCTTTTATCTATCAGAGCACCATTGAGTTCGATGTATCTATCATATATTGTTGACGTAGTGTAACATTTACCTTTCTTCAGTCCAACTTCTATTTCACTCAGTATGTCTATTATTGCTTTGTTGCTTGTTCTCGTCTCTTCGTCCATCACATTCATTCCAACACATTTTCTCCACTCATTCGTGAAGCATGGTATTTAACTTCCGTGGCTATTAAATCAGTTTGGCCAATTATGGCGAAGCATACGTGCTCTTTACTAGCGATAATTTTTATTTTTTGCTCAAGATTTTTCGTCAGAACCTGAGATAACTTGTGTTTTCTCAAATATTTTTGACAGAATAAACATTTATTACTGTCAAAAAGAAGCGCGAAGAGGTCGAGAAGTAGAAGGTGCAACATCTGATATACATTCTCCATTATATTTCAACCTATAAAGGTTTTTTTTACTCGTATAACTGAAGTAACATATCTTATGCCACATAAGTACTTTGGTTTTGATATCACCAAGATTTTTGAAAAATAAATTTGTTCTTGTTTCATTATCTCTGCCATTATTATAACGAGCACGTAGTTTCACGCATTCAACGAATTTTTTTCTCGATAAATCTGTAGCCGTCACCAAATTAACTGACTTCTGGCATACGATACATTTGTTATTCGAAATCAAGTCACTGTTTCCTTCCCCGGCGATTTTTATTATAGATTCTAATTCGCTATCTGAGCTTGTAACCTGTAATTGTCAAATACGTAATTGAAATTCTGAATAGACGACTGTCATAATATAGGTACTTACTTGTCACTTGATTATTAACTACAACAAACCAAAACTGGAACAATTATATTATACATATTGAAATACTATCACAACAAAAGGAAATATCTACTTGCACAAGTGTCTCGTCTCCAAAATAGACTAATAATGATCATAAGGTTGGATAGTTATCGCGGTGGAAACGAAAAATAAAATTGTTCGAAATTGTGTGTTCGAGTAAATTGCGTTTGAATGTGCTCGAGATCCATATAACACCATGTATTTCGGAAACTTCAACAATTAATTGAATGACTTTTGTGCCTCATAGAACATTCCGGTTTCTACTGAAATGATTGATATATTTTTCTTATGATGTTCGACTGATAAAAAAAATAGGGTGAAATTTACATTTACCCCTTTCCCCACCCTCTTGCAAGGACGATTTTTTGACGACCCCTTTATTTCATATCCTGGTATGATAGGTGAGAGTTTAAGATAGTTTCCAGCTTTTATCAAAGCGTTGCACACGGAATCTGTTTAGAGAGCACTTATTGCCGTGTATGAACTCTACTACAATTGCCTGTCGCACTCTCCGACAGTCTCAATGGCGCAAGAAGACCGATCCGAAGGGCTCTTGCTCTGCCATAACAATTTCCATAGTTGAAATTCGCCTTGTGCCTCGTCTAGTTCTACCAGGTCCTCGTACATCACTAGGTCCTCTCTTGGGAATGGCGTTTCCTTCTCGGAACAGACTTGGTATAAGAGTGTACATAGCAGCAATCACTTTCTTGTGGTCAGTAAATATTATTTTGAGCTGGTGAGTTGAGTCTTTTGATAGGGGTATTGCAACAATTATGCGGTAATACTGTTCGGGGTTATTAGTATTTGGATTAGCGCGATGCTTCTGTGTTGATGTCAACCGTGGGACCTTGATCTCTTCATTGATATCGGCCTATGAATCCATTGCTTCTGTAAATGAATTTGAAAACTCTTTTTCAATATTGGATCGAATATCTTGAAAGTGCGATATTACGTTCTCAATATGGTCGAGAGCTGTTATTATATCACACAGATGTGACTGTAGGACTTTGCATAGGAAATACCTTTGCCAAAAAACAGAGTGATACCACGAATTCGCTGGCAAGAGCAGATCTCAGAAAAGAAGAAGCTTTCGTCGAGGTCTCCATATCCGGGTCTATGCTGAATTGTTCTAAAGTCTCAATAATAGATTTATAAATTTGTTTGAATTTCAAAAAACCGTTGTGATTTTCCACCCAACGCGTTTCACACATTGGTGTTAATTTCTGCCATGTTGCATCAGGAAAGTTGGCCCTAATGCGTGCCTGAAGGAAGCTTGTTCGCTTTGGAGATGCTCTCAAAAAATTTCCGATTGCTTTCACAGATCCTATACAATTTCTTATAGGAGGTACACTACATGAATGACAAAGGGCCAAGTTCAAATAATGAGATCTGCAATGGACAAATAGAGCTCGGGGAAATGATTTCCGTATTATTGCTTGAACGCCATTGAAAGCACCTTTCATCACAGCTGCACCATCGTACCCCTGTTCCACTATATTGTTGCAGTCAATGTCAAGGTTTTTCAGGGATGCTATTATCGTGTCGGCCAAAGGTTGTTCAGTTGTATTATCGACCTTTACAAATCCGAGAAAATCTTCTTTCACAGCATAACAAGTTTCGACCTTTTTTGTGTATCTAACACATAGTGAAAGTTGTTTGTGACCCGAAATATCAGCAGTTTCGTCTACTAAAACGGAGAACACCTCCGCTTCATTCAAACATTTTACAATTTCCTTCTGACATATATCCCCACAAATTGATATCAGATCATTTTGGACCTTAACGCTCATATATGTCGCGTTCAAAGCAATGTTTTCGCTGTGTTTGAGCAATTTTGTATCACCACATTTCATCCTCATTCTTACGATGGCTCTGAAATTGCCGTCATTTGTGACTGGCTCCTCATCAGTCACAGAAACAGGGCCAGAATCGTTTGTTCCCTCAAAGCCAGTTCTTGACGCCAACAAAACTTTATAGTTTCCACAATTGAATATAATTCCTCTCTATTTTCTTCTACTTGTTTTCTTCTCCCGGAGTCAATAACGTTTCTGATATCCGAGTGTTGGTTTTGCCTAGTTTTCCAACCACAGCTTCGTGATGGTATTGTTTAGATTGATGGGATTCGAGGTCTTCGATTGCGTTTTTCCATTTCTTATACGGAACTGTTACAAGCGATTTCAAATCCTGATTGCCTCCTTCTCCTACGGTGTGATGTGAAAAAAATTATACACAATATTTGCACAGTGCGCCGTTACTGTATGTACAGGAAAATTAACAATTTTACCTTGCGGAATCTTCCAACAAAATTTCCAAGACCCCACGCTCTTGATCAGTGTTTACTCCATCTTGGAAGTCTATAGAACAAGCTTTAGAGAAAATAGAAAATGAATCAGCATGCCTAATAGTAATCAAATTTGTAAGAATTGGAGTCAGACGATGAGAAATATATAGGAATTCAATTAATAATAACACTTGATGGAGAAATAAATGCTAGTATGATTTATTCACCTTGCAGACTCGCTATTGAGTCTTAGAAATTGGAGAACAATGTGATAAAAACTCACCAGCCACTTCGTGTAATACCTATGCTCCAGCACAAACTGATGAAACTAAAATTCACATTCAACAGTACACACCAAAATTTTTTGTGTTAGCAATTGATATTTGATTATTAGGCCACTCCAGGCGTCCTTTGCAGTCTAACATGTTGACTACGACTACCTACTGCATTCCAACCTCGACCATGAGCCGAAGAGAATATCACTACGTCATGGGAAGGTCAATCATTTTATAACAAATTATTTGTTTCTCTCAAGAACAATTTCTTATTCTCTAAGCAATTGAACTGTAGAGAGAATTTGTTACCAGTTAATAAATGGTAAATCAAGAGTATGATTCCAGAAAGTTTGTATATAACGAACAGGTTTGTGACAAACTCATAGAAGTTACTCCTGAAAACATATGTTAATATTGAAATAATTAGCTCCTAACCAGTCCTTTGTTTTCGGTCAACGATTCTTCTACAAATTACATGGTAGTATTTAATAAGGTATATTGATGACAAGAATATGGCGTTAATATTCAACGAAGCATACTCAAACAAATCAATTTATTTATCATAACAAAACCTTTTCCTCAGTGTACACAATATTTGCACAGTGCGCCGTCACTTTTTGTGTAAACGAGCCACGGGAACCTATCAAGCCACTGCCTTTGGAATCGAAGGTTCTTCTTCCCACTTACGATTACGGGAAATTGGAAATCTTCCCCTGGCGTCCACGGAGTACTCAGCAACTTAAATTTTAAGTTATCATCTAATTTGTTACCTACATAGCTTCCCAAATCAAAGTGGTGAATTAGTAAGTTGCTTTCTTCAGGTCTCACTTTGCTGATCTCAGTACACGTAGAAAATAAGACGATGTGCTTGCCTCAGAGACAAAAGGTCTAGCAGATGTAGATGAGTCACCCGCAGTGTTCGTCTTTTGAGCCTTTGTAGAATAAGTAAACAGTGACGCTTGCAAACTAGTTCGTTTGGACATCTTGATGATCAATGACCTAAAAAAATAATACTAGAAGACCTGTGTAGATTTCTTTTCAATTTTCCCATGACTAAAAATAAGTTTTGACGATTAAATAGTTATTTATGCAACAAGAGCAATAGGCCGAGTTGGACAACACGTCGAGTGCAATAAACAATTTTTGCACAAGTTGCATGCAACTTTTTTTTTACGTTCATGCAAAAAGCAAAAAATGATTTATTGAGGTGCAGCACTAGGTACAATTCTGTTAATTGTCGGAATTAATTTTTGACTGACGTTTCTATAACCACAGTTGCCATATAAAAAATGTTTGTCATGATGACAGCACGTTGAAGTAGAATGACAGATGAGTGCAATAAAAACTTTATTGCACTAAGTGCAATAAAGAACATCTTTTTCCACTAAATATAGTTCAATGAAGTTCTGCTTTTTGCATGAATGTAGAAAAAGGTAATTATACTCACCTTGAATGAAAAACCGTTGTTTTCGATATTGTATCACGTGTATTAAACTGCACAGAGACACAAGTCTTAACTGGTAGACCACAAAAAGACGAATGACCGCACAACGCGAAGACAGATGGGTAATAGGCAGTAGCGACAGGGCCGTCGAGTTGGGTGGGAATTCGTTGTTGACATGCTGCGTGGTGAAAATACTGAAAAGATTAACATCTTTGGAATGTTTCCACCTGGAAGTCGATTTTATCTAATGTTAATCCATTTTATTTCGGGGGGTGTCCGGACCCCCTGGACCCCCCTGGGCACGGCCTTGCCATCAGCACCCACTCCACATACAAATCTTTCTCGTAGCGCTTCATCAAAAAACTGCCTAAACTTACGGGAACCCGTTAATTTGCGTAACTCTGTTGAAAATTTTGCGATATTTTGATCAGGTTCTTGATAACATTTATTGAACACAAACCGTTCATATATCTCTGACACTGGAGGTGCATATTGAGCTTTCAATTTTGTTATCACATGCTCATATGTCAAATCCCTTCTAGGGTGTCTGGTGAAACTAAGGTTTTGAGTGTCTGATATATTTCGGGACCTGCCAAAGTGATGAACATGGAAACCTTATTATCTTCCGGAATAACATTCACTTCAAATAGGTGCTCTAATCTTTCCAGATATGTCTCAAAATTTCCAGCCGGTCCTTTGAATTGCTTAATATTCCCAATAAGGGACATTTTTGATTATTTGCTCCTCTAGAATCTCTAGGGCGGATCAATTTCACAATTCGACAATTCCTACAGTGCCTTCGAACAGTCCTGATTTCACTACTTAACCCTAGACACGACGTCGCAACCAGTGTTGCCAGATGAAAATTTGATGGAGCAGTAGATGGGCGAGGATAAAACAGTAGATCATTATAACAAAACAGTAGATTTTAACAATCATCAGAATTTGCTGTTATAAATAAAATAAACATAAAAACTTGAAAAACGAAAAATTTAATAATTTTAGGCTTTCATACAGTCGTATTCAATAAAAAAGCGTACAAGTATTAAACATAGAAGATTTCGGCATTCTATTTCTGTGTAAAATTGGCTCAGCCAATGCTTTTGTGTTTTTGAGAACCTATGATTACTCTACTGTCAACATTTGGTAAACATTCATTCCTGATAGCCCGTTGTACGCAAATAGGATGACGTTAATTTATATCTCCATTATATTCGTACGCTTTTTTTTGATTACGACTCTACCTATTAAAAATCAAACAACGAATAACAACAAATAATGAAATTAGGAATACATTTTCAAAAACAAAAACCAAAATAAAAATTAACACTTTCTTCAATCAGTCTTGATCTGATAATTCTAGCGTATATCGAAGACTGGAACCTTTGGCACGATTTTTCAACGCCTCGACACGTGTTTCGCTAACTATGTTATCATCTTCAGGAGAAGATTAAAACTGTTTGTCAAGAAATAGATGTCCTAAGGATATTGTGTGTTATTAGGGTCATTTCCAATTCTTTTAATATTTTATTGCCGAAGTCAAATATTCGATTAATTTGATTACAACTTTCTATATAAAACTGTAGACATCTTGTCCGTAAAATATGTGACTTTTCCCCATTAAGCTTTCTTTCCAGCGATAATATATCGGCACCTAAATAAATTTCCTCTAATGAAAGAAAATTGTTCGGATCTTCAAAATTAATCTCTATAATATGGTTATCAACTATTACATTTTTTTGAATGAAGCAATACAATATTGTCTTGTATGTTGCAGAAACGATTGAAAGTAATTTGTGTATTTTTGGCTTGTAAGACTACATTTCTAAGTTGAGTTTTGAAAAAATGGTGAAGCAAATTCTGAAAATATTAATATACATTGTGTAAGTGGGTCTCTCAATTTTGTTAAAATTGTTTCTGCTGCCACTAATCGTTCCGTGCAACAGCATCAGTGAAATATAGAATTAATGCATTATATTGTTCCAATATCCTTTTTACAACACTTTCCAAAAATTAACCATCTCGTTTGGGCTGGATGAAGTTTTTTTATTTTGGTGTTGGTAACATTTTGAAATTCTTTCAGTGTCTCAATTCTTCTTGGACTTGAAAATTATAGACATCCCTCACAACATCCTCAACTAATTTGGGTAATTTTTCGCATGTTGCTGAAGCACATAGATGGAAGCTATGACAAAGACAACGCTGGTGTCAGGTTTAAAGTGCGGACACAACACTAGTCTCTGAAGTGTAACGAATTCTATTCTCAGGTATTTGGGCGAGGTCCCAAAGTGTCCCAAGTAGGCGAGCTTACGAGCGACTTCTCTATGTGGACAGTCAGCTTCAGCTAGGGGAATTGGCTACGCAATGTGTCAACCGACAACAAATCTGAAACCACGTAAAAACGAACTGGCAACGGCTCTTGTTAAACGCGAATGATTCAGAATCCCGAATTCCCGATATTCGAAGGATTTCTGAAACAACGACAAACAAACTCAAGAATTAATAATCGACAACACGGCTATCGACTATCCTATCTGATTCTCTTGCTAAAAAAAGTGCCACTTTTTATAGCAAATCTAAAAGTCTCTTAGGCTCCGCCTTGATAAAAAACACGAAACTCGAACGGCCATTGGCTTAGGGCCCAACGTTCGCTGAAAAAGTATTGATTTTTTACGTGGACACGCGCCAGCGAGTCTGACGCCTGTGATTGGCCAAATCTCAAGAAGTGAGCTAAAGATCTAAAAACTCAAATTTCTCGGCTATTTATGGTTCGATTCACTGGCTAGGGGTGTCATTCGATAGGGAATTGATTCCTCTATCGAATTATGCTAAAATTACATCAAAATTCCTTTAATGAAGTAGCCAAATCGACGACACCCCCCCCTTTAAAACGATTGTAAGCTCGCAGCGTTGGTCTACCTGGGGACCTCTCGTTCTATAAAGAACGATTTGGGTGCTCAGAGAGCGGTGCTTATCAAGCAGGTGCAATGATACTGTTGCTCCTTGGCTCGGTGTGGCTCGTTCCCAGATAGCACAAATTCCTTTTGAGGCCCTTCTGAGGCGTTCACAATCATGTCCTCAGGACGTCGAGAGCGAGCCTGAGGACATTCTCAAGACGTCCTCCTGTTACCATTCTCTACATACTAATAACGTCTCAGAACATCCCTATAAAATCTTTTCAGACAACCTCAGGACATCATGGTAACAACTTGAGGCGGTTTTTGATGATGTTTCAAGGAGGTTCAAGATTTATGGGAGAATATTATTCGTATACAGAATGAGTCACTTATAGTGTGTTCTCCTCCGATATTAGCCAAACCGTCAGATATATAAAATGAAAATTCAAGTACAACAGTAATAGGGTTTCATAAGAACAATCACCTAAAGTTGTTTTCATATCTATAGGTTGTTCGAATTCCAAGATATCAGTTGATGATTGAAACACCTTGTATATTATTGCATTTTTGAGTTTTCCCTGAAGAGTTGATTCCATCAATGCATCACACTTGGTGTCTAGTAGGATTTTTTGTGTCGAAACTATTCATTAATGGTCAAAACGGCTCACATGTTCCTGTCATAACTTTTGATTAGCTATCTACTGATATTTATTTGGAACAGATACAATAAGCTGATCAGTATTCTGAATGTTAACCCACCCTCTATTTGTTCCGATTGAATGTCAGTAGATAGTAAATCGAAAGTTTATAAGGATATGTGAGCCGTTTTGACCAATATTGAATAGTTTCCACAAAAAAAATCCTAAAATTGAAAAATCTTGTTTTTGAACACCCTATATCTCTGTAATCATTCCCGCTAGACCCCAAGTGTGATACATTGATGGAATCAGCTCTTCAGGGAGAACCTAAAAATGCAATAGTATACAGGGTGTCCCATTTGGAAAAAAACAATCATCAGTCAATATATCTTGGAATTCGAACACCCTACAGATATATATGAAAACAATTTAATGTGAAAGTTCTCATGAAACCCTATTACTGTTGTACTTGAATTTTCTCTATTTATCTGATGGTTTGGCTAATATACAAGAATAACACACTATTGACTCACCTTGTATTATGCAAATGATAATTTCTTCAAAATAATATGGATCTCATGATATTTGCAAAATTTCCCTTTATTTATAATAGGTTTAAATGAAAAACCAAATGAAAAACTTACATTCTATTATTTATAACTTATTCTGAAAAATTTCAATTTCCTTTCCAAAGAAATGTATTTCAGCTTCTTGTTGAGCACTACTAGGAGTTATTGCCTATTGATAGTTATATTTCTCCATCATGTTGTTTTTGATTTCTGAACTCTGGACATTCCTGATGCAGAATAATCAACTGGAAGTTGAAGCCTCCATGCAATATTTTATAGATTCTGAAGAAGCAAAACTATCTTGGAATGAAAATATCATCAGGTTTGTGTTTTGCATAACCTTCTGAAACAAACAATGTATTAATATTTCATGTCCAGTACTTACTATCAATGATATGATTTATGTAGTTACAGGTACCAACCATTATCGAATCTACTGAAAGTTCAAGTCTGCATATGTACAATCTTTCATAATTTCCAAAGAACAATCTTTCATAATTTCCAAAGAAGCCAAAATATCTTGGAATAAAATATCTCTGCTCTGATGATATCATCATTTTGTGTTATCAATAACCTCCTGAAACAAATAATGTACCTATTAATATTTCATGTTCCAGTCCCTACTATATCAATGATTTGATTCAGGTACCTACCTTTATTGAATATACTGGAAGTGCAAACATGCATATGCAATCTCACATAGATTTCGAAGAAGCCAAAATATCTTGGAATGAAACATTTCTGCTCTGATGTTCTTGTGTTCTCAATAACTTCATCTGAAACAAATAATTAACCTATTAACATTCCATGTCCAGTACCTACTATATGATTTGATTCAGGTACCTACCTTTATTGAATTCATACTGAAAGTTCAAGCTTCCATACAATAGTTTATAGATTCCGAAAAAGCAAAGCTGTCTTGGAATAAAACATGTTTGCTATGATGATATCATCAAGTTTGTGTTCTCAATAACCTCCTGAAACAATGAATAATGTAAATGAATGTATCAATATTTCATGTCTGGTACTATATCAATGATTCTATTTAGTATTTACTCACCATTGTTTCTTGCTACCTGAGAGAAATGTCATCAACAGAGATTATCATCCTTTTGTTATTGTTATCTTTTAATTCTGTGCAATAAGTTCTTCTCGCAATCATTTTGTGAAATAGAAATTTGATGAAGGTATTCAATGAATACTCTAATAATTTTGATATAATCATTAATATATTATGATGTATCTTGAACAAATCATGACTATCATGAGACATAACCTCAATTCTAGTTCTTCTTTCTCTTCCTTTTGTCTTCGATGACACGTTATTTCATGGAATGTCATCTGAAGACGTCCGTAGGTACGAAATTCTTCACATCCTCAGGCTGTCACTGAAAGAACTCATTTAGGACAATTACAGCGCTAAATTTACGCCTGATGATGTTCTTAGGTTGTAGAAAACAGAACGTCCTCTCCAGGCGTTTGGCGACACATTGAGGATGACCTTAGGCGAGTGTGTGCTATCTGGGTTGTGGCTCATGGTGGATCTTATGGCTACCAGTATCATGGTGTGGCTCTTTGCAGATGCTGAACAATCAAATCAAAGATTCGTGGTACATGGGTTCATTCATTCCCAGTTTCATCGTGAGTCATACGTGATCTTTTCTTTTCAAGATCGCATTTGTCCGTTCCACGAGCATTCTTCAAAATTCAACCCAACATATACACCAAATCAAACGATATCATTCCGTAGAACGTCTTTATAAGCACTTCACTCTTTGTTTTCCAAAGTCCTGGAGGGCACATTCCTAAGAACGTCTTTAGTGGCACATTACTAAAAATGTCTCTTTTAGGTACACTATTCGGCGATGCTACACACAATGTTTAGGATAATGTGTTATAGAAAACACTTAATCCTACCAACTCCTTGGACAGGACACCATATTGCCCAAGGGGGAAATCCCAGAACACGAATAGCGACCTTTTCGGGAACACATCCCCTTCAAGGATTCAACCTTCTGTTGAGCCTTGGATCCAACTGTTCTTGCCCAACACGCTGAGCGGGGGCAAGACGCAAATCGTCAATATGGATAACAGTATCCAACCCTTCCTTATTCACCAAATAAGTTGTAGGTCCCAAACGCTTCA